CCCCCCTCCTACGTGACCCCGGTTGGGTCGTCTGGCTGGTAGAAGTGGAGGATAGGGGCCAGAGGGGCAGACGACAGAGTCCAATGATGGGAGGAAAAAAAAAATGTAGAAGAATGCATAAATGACACGAGGATACGTTTCCGGAACGCTCTCGACGAGGCAGCTCCACCGCCCGCCATTTTCGGCACCGTCACTCTCTCTGCTGTGGTGAAATCAGGTAAACATGAAATCGGTCCAGGGGGTGTGCCATCTTCCGGCAGACCTGAATTTATGGCACCGGAATGGGCCTCTGTTTGCCTTACACAAAATTTGCCGCTCTCTCTTCGATTTGCAAATGCCCCAGCCAGCCCTCATCCCTCCTTTTTTCATATTCTTTGCTCACCCTGTAGAGATCGCTGTGTTCCAGTCTCGCAGGAATGCCCGGGATGATGGACAGCTTTTCGTGCCACCAAATTTCAGTCGGGTCTGCGCAAAGGCGACAGCAGTGGTCAGGGCGGTCAACATGCATCACGAGGAAAATACATCAAAAACAACGAAGACGTTCTTAACCACAATGCCTGCAACAATAGCAGCACCATAGGCAACAACGAGGCCACCGGATCGAAGCCGAACAAATGGCAACACTCGGGGGGGGCAAACATAGCAGGGAACCCGGAGCTGGTCAGCACTAGCGCAGCACATTCGGGTGGCGCCAGCACGTACGCAAGCAGGCGCGCTGCAGTAGTTCCCAAAATTACAAGTCAGGCCGACGAGTATGTAGGGAGGGCCTCGTCGATATGTCACACGCGTCCGTTGCCGCCAAGTGTTGGCAAACCAACCAACCTAAAATTACCTCCACTGCGGTTGAACCTGTCACCATGACCGGGTCCCCTGGGAGCTCCGTCCTCCCACTACAACTACAGCGAGCGTTTGCCTTTCAGACTTGCCAAAACGACACATCTAATACAGAATAATAGAACGCCGGCCCCAACTTCGTTTGAAACCGTCACCATGACCGGGTCCCCCGGGAGCTCCGTCCTCCCACTAACTACAGCGTGCATTGGCCTTAGTATTAGAACGCCGGCCCCAACTTGTACCTGGGAGCAGCAGAGAGCCGGCCTCATCCGAGTGACACGCCCCTACCGCCTGAGCGGTGTTGTCGCAGCAGTAGTACTTGATGTCCTCCACCGATACGCCGACGTGCCCGAAGCTGAACGACGAGGACGACGGCGAGCAGGTTGGGATGGGACGCATCCACATTGGCGAGACGGGTGGCCATGGTGAATTTTAGCCGTTGGGTGCTTTGTGGTCAACTGGGACACTGGAGAAGTCAATGGTCGGTGTTTTACGTGGCACATACCCTCATTTTTTTCTTGGTTTTCGATAAATAATTAGGCTTGCATTCCATTCGCCCGTTTGCCCCGAAAGTTCTCTGATACTGCTAACGTTTTCAACCCTGGAATTTGTCTTGGCCTGAAATCAAGCACTAAATACAATCAGCACAACCCGCCACAAGTTCACCAACGCACGAAGGAACAAAAACAAAGAAAAGAAAGCCCGTCTCAGTTGCTGCATTGCACATCACGCACGGAGGAACAAAAGAAAAGAAATACCTTCTCAGTTGTTGCATTGTAGTCGAGTTTGACTTCACCTTTTCTGCTCGAAAATAGCGAGTTCGACGTGCCCAACCTCTTTCGGGCAGTTTATCTCTTGTTCCGCTGGCGAACATAGCCCGGTGCCATCCTGAGGCATTCAATATTAGTTGCGGAGGAGAACCCAAAGGGAGACGAAAGGAGGAGGCATTCTTCACCGTGCAAAACACACATCGAAAAAAAGCGTAATCAAACAAACCAGCAGCCCAACGTGTACAGCAGCATAATCAAGTAGCAACCAGTGGTCCAAAGCTTGACTCTTAAGCACCAAATACACGAGCAATCGCATTTTCACCGCGGAACGAGGAACGAGGATTAACAAAGAGGATATGTATTTATTCACCTCGCAAGACACAAGACGTCGAAACATCGTCCCACCATACAGCCATCTTAACATGTACTATTATTGAGCTGATAACGTATCGCTCGAAAAAAACACAACCTAGAAACAACACCAAGACACGTGCAACAAAAAGGAACCAATCAACGTGTTCACGATTGCACAGTCAACACAATGCTTGTGGGGGGAACGGGAATTAGAAACCAACCGCACAGGAAAAACAAAATCACGCAAAGCCTTTCGGGGGGGGTTCCGGGAAATCAAATCGACCAAGTCTGGCTGTGGTGCGGAAACCGTCCGTGTCGAGCCTCGCTTCGTTAGGGCCTCCTGTCCTTCCGCCGTACTACCCACCAACACCGTCAAAGTAGGAAGTGGAGGACCCGGGCGGGGCAGCAGAGCCGGTGGCAGTCGCGTTGCCCTCACCTGACTAGATAGACAAACGCCAAGCCCCCGACCTAAAGACGAAAACCACAAGCCGCGGGCATGGAGAGATTTGCCCGTGGTCGCCGGTCGCGGCCGCCGCCGCGTTTGGGAGAGAGACGAATGGACACCAAGCAACCCTCAACCACGAACAAATCATCTTCACCAGCTTTGACAACATGATCAACAGCGGGTGAGGTACTGTAGGGTGGGCACACACACCCTTTGTCGAGGACGCGGTGGTAAAACCCCCATGATTTGATTCTGTTCTTCCTAGAACAAACCAGCCGTCCGCGGTGGAAGAACAAGGTCGTCGTCTTCATCCGTCACTTCAGATTTCTTTTCCACACCTCACACTCGAACGTAACAAAACAAACATGCAAGAGAAGAAAAAGAAAAAACTCACCGCTTCGAACTGGAGTTCGCTCAAACGGATGAAGCTCTCCCCGTCCCCCCCTCCGGCTCCAATCTCCAGGAAACCCTTTCCGGGGGCAAACATCCCCGATTCTCGATAGATCAGGTGAGGATACTGCATCGAGCGAGAGGCGGCGGGATCACAAGAGCACCCACGCAGCGCGCCATACGAGAGCCAGCATTTAAGGGACAACGAAACGGAAAATTCCACACTCGGGGTTAATACAAGGACAGAAGGGAACGGGGAGTTTCCGATTGTGCCACAGCACTTGTAGTGGTGCACATACCATGTACTCACCACTACGCTTGCTCGTAGGTTTAACCGAGTTTCCAAGTGGCAAAAGCGTTTTTTTTTCACCAGGACCATCTTCTACCCCCGAGGGTTGCTCCAACACTAATGAGCGTCACATAAGTTCTGCGCGGCTCCGGTAGCCTCGCATGCGGTTTGGTCGAAGCACGCTACCTGTGCATTGTTGCCGACTATAATACAACAAAATTCATCCGCATGCTAGGGCCGATTTCACCGGAACATTATGCGTACCGACAGTGGAATCTACGTACAGCTATAGACAAGTTGGGCAGAGAGTATCCTGCCCGATACATGCAGTCCAATGTTCATGGAGCAGGAAGGCCAAACACGGATGATGTTCGCCATCGTACAAAAAAAAAAAAAAAACCAGGGATCGATCGGAGCGTTTGGGCGTTTGGACTNTAAGTTCTGCGCGGCTCCGGTAGCCTCGCATGCGGTTTGGTCGAAGCACGCTACCTGTGCATTGTTGCCGACTATAATACAACAAAATTCATCCGCATGCTAGGGCCGATTTCACCGGAACATTATGCGTACCGACAGTGGAATCTACGTACAGCTATAGACAAGTTGGGCAGAGAGTATCCTGCCCGATACATGCAGTCCAATGTTCATGGAGCAGGAAGGCCAAACACGGATGATGTTCGCCATCGTAAAAAAAAAAAAAAAAAACCAGTGATCGATCGGAGCGTTTGGGCGTTTGGACTGTTGTAGACTATACTGCTGTAGAATGGTTGCTCAAGGATGGTACATGACAACCATCCGTACGAGAAGCGGCATGCCCGCGGAGAAACAGCATACACGCACACGCACGTGGGTGGTATCAAGGGTTATACGCAATTCCGGCAACGCGTCAGTCGACCCACACAACGAACGGCGGTTGGCGTGTACAGCCTCGACTCTCCACCTACTTGTGCGTTGCGCGGGTGTTGTCGGAAGGAGATGAAATGCGGACATGTCGTGCCACTGCTGCTGCTGCTGCCGCTGGCATCTGTAAAGCAGAAATAGCGAACTGCCACGTCACGCCCTTCGCGTCCCCAACAGCGAGACGAACAACTCCACGCTCCAAGCGCTCTCTCTCTCTCTCTCTCTCTCTCTCTCTCTCTGCTCACCTCGAGCTCCAGGTTGTCGTAGGGAAAGATTCCCGCTGTCGCCATCCGCACGGACGAGAGGAAGAACAGAGGAGCGGCAACAAGAACATTGGCGTACCGGGCCCGCCGGCGGAGGCCGACAACGCAACTCCCGCCGCAGACTGCACCCATTGCTTGATGATCCACGGGAAAAACCATGAAGACGCCCCTCCTTTCGTCGTCCGCTCTCTCTCCGCGCTGCTGCTCTCCTGCCTCTGTCATCCGCCGTCCGCTCTTGGCACGTTTTGGGCGGGGCAACGCAGCTCGTACCTGTACCAGGAGCACCCAATCAAGCATCCAACTCTTCAATTTCAGGATACATCCGTGGGGCCTCCCCAGGCCGGCAGCAAGTCAGCCCATGAGCCAGCAGCCCAGCTGCCAGTGCACCATCATATCACACGGTGTCACGGTTACATCTGCTGCATCTGCACTCCCCGTGGCGTATTGATCCCGAGTGGTATAAACAGAGACAAGATTATAGAATACTCACCAATTGCCGAAGTCAGCATCGCGCAGCGGCTTCACGCAAGGGCTCCCTCCCTCCAAGATTTTTCAAAACGTCCCGCACAAATCACCGCACTGACTCAAATTTGACGCAGCACAGCAGCAGCACAGACGATGTCGCGATCGCGGCCAGCTTGCTCCTTGGGCACCCAGGCCATCCACGGCGCCCTTCTCCTCTTGCTGATCCTTGGGCCTAGAACAGGAGTTGGAGCAGCATCACGTGGCCCGTCGAAGGATGTGTGCTGGATCAACGGCGGAGCTATCAAGATGACAGGTGTGGCAGTAAACATGCAGCTGCTGCTCTGCAGAGCAGAGATATATAATACTGCATTTGATATTCGTTGCTGCTGTACACATGTAATGTGCGACCGGACATTCGCAACACAACAGGGTTGATTGGTTTGTTACATATAGTAACCCCAGTTTCAGTTTCGGTTGTGCACGGTGATTCTCTCTTTCTCTACCCTTGTTATCGCGGATTTCATGTCCTACGTTGGTCAAAGCATCGATCGATCCCAAGGTGAAGTTGAACGTTGCCGTTCCTACAAATTGTGTTTGGAGTACATCTGCAGACATTCTACAAATCTTTATCTTACACAACAGCCTCGAAAGGACGTGCGCGCTCATCGCACCCGTAACAACAAGTCTGGCGAAAGTCATGTGCGGAGGGCGGTGGAAGATAGATAAACGCACCTCTGAACCGACAGCTTTCTGTACGTGGCGGGTTGGCTTGCGTTTGATGTTTATTTTACAAGGGTGTGTTCTGGGTCTGTAAGTTTCTGTAGGGTATTTGAAATTGTCACAGAACTCACAGAACTATCCGGTAGGTATCGGACTTGTCACAGAACTCAACAGAACTAATCGGGTTTGTGCGAAGGTAGTACATAACCCACAGATCGTAGCGGGTACGTGCATAATATATGTTACAGACGTTTTCTGTAGGGTATTGGAAGTGTCACAGATCCACAGAAGGAATTGCTGTACTTTCTCGCGATAAAAACATCTCAGGCAGGAACCGCAGGAGGGGGTCCAACCCCCCCCCTCTTATGTGACCCCGGTTGGGTCATCTGGCTGGTAGAAGTGGAGGATAGGGGCCAGAGGGGCAGACGACAGAGTCCATGAGTCCGATGGGGGTGTGTGTGTGTGTACTCATAGTCGTTCATGCCCTAGTCGTTAGACCATTGACCTCGCATCCCTACAAAACCGGGACGGAGCACGCCGGGTTCTCACCGGACCAGACTCTCACATCACCAAGCGCGAAGCGCCGTGAGGTATTCGGCGAGTCGCATGAAGGGTGCGTTGCATCCTGCTAGGGGTGTTCGGCATCTTGTGCTTACTTCCTTGCGTACGGATGACAGCTGCGTATGACTTCCATGTATTTTCTGGCGCTTTCACTTCCAGAGACAGTTGTAAGCACTGTGTAACTGCCTCGAGGGTGCTTGACCATTTTAACACAACGTGGTGCGATCATCCCCCTTGCGCGGAGTGAGGGTTCACCCCGCACAACATGATCTACTCAACCATCATTATGGTTACCGCCCAAAAAAAATAAACGGAGGAAAAAAAAAAAAACGGTAACCTGGTTGCCGAGTTCACGAAGTGAATTGGCTTGTTTTACAACGTCGTTGCCAAGCGACGAAAACCCAATCCCGATGGCAAACACCGGGGGGGGCGGCTTGTTTTACAACGTCGTTGCCAAGCGACGAAAACCCAACCCCGATGGCAAACACCGGGGGGGTGACGGTGGGGGGGTGTACTCATAGTACTCATAGTCGTGCCGTAGTCGTTAGACCATTGACCTCGCATCACTACAAAACCGGGGCGGAGCACGCCGGGTTCTCACCGGACCAGGCTTTCACTTCACCAAGCGCGAAGCGCCGTGAGATATTCGGCGAGTCGCATGAAGGGTGCGCTGCATCCTGCTAGGGGTGTTCGGCATCTTGTGCTTACTTCCTTGCGTACGGATGACAGCTGCGTATGACTTAATGTATTTTCTGGTGCTTTCACTTCCAGAGACAGTTGTAAGCACTGTGTAACTGCCTCGAGGGTGCTTGACCATTTTAACACAACGTGGTGCGATCACCCCCCTTGCGCGGAGTGAGGGTTCTCCACCCCGCACAAGATGATCTACTCGACCACCATTCATCGGTTACCGCCAAAAAAAAAACGGAGGTAAAAAA